TCTGGACCTCAATACAATTCAGAATGTTTAGAATGCACAGGGAAACATGCTGCTGCTCGTCAGTACTCTCTAACTGCTTTCCAGGCTGTAAATTGCCCTTCTGTAGAGATTGCCCTGTGCTGAGTTGGATCCATTGATTGGAGATTTGAAATATCAATGCAAAACTTACAACAAAGTCACTGCAGACTGCATCCCATATTACCCATTAATTCTAAAAGCTTTGAAAAGAAATTTTATCAAAATTTACAAATCAAAGTTTGTGTTCCTAGAAATTTGAACGTTTTAAGAAGCTGATTTTACTAACCACTGAATTTAATAAGTGACAGGTTCTGTAGATTCCCCCTTAATTTTTTTATACTCATCATGAATATATAATTGTTGAGTACTTTCTTGTAAAACTTAAGAGTCAAATCAATATATAACTAATGAATAAATTATGAATAATTTACTGCAGTGCACTCAACTTCTGACAGCAGTTCATCATAAGACAAGGCATATTTAGAAAACTGATAACAGTCTTTTAGAATATTATCTAGTAAATGTTTCTTAGAATCTTATCTATTCTTTGCTTCTGAAATAATAAGTGGCTAATCTCTTACTAAGTCTTCTTTCTAACTGTGACAAAAATTTTAGGTAACACAATACAATAACAGAAATGTCTATTAAGGAAGGACATAATTTTCTTCGAAAGTGGATGATTAGGTTCTTTGAATATGGTAAAACATGCAAGGGATATCTCTCTAAGAAGAGGGATGCCTTTGCAAAGGACTTTCTAAAGTGGCTTGTATTCAAGTTACACATGGGGAAAAATCATGAAAACCAAACATGCAGCCAGCCTGTTTGCATGGTGCCAAACTTTCAGTATTCAGTGATCTTAACCACTGGTGGAGCTCTTTGAAGGTAGATATAAATAATAAATATACTTTGACATAAAAAATTCAGACAATCAAGTGGTTTAGATGACATTCTTTTACATCAGAGGCAAAATAAAGTGCTCAATTTCAGATATGTAGACATGAAAATTAAAATGTGAAGCACATTTTGTTCAAATAAATATAAAGATTAAAAATACTATAGGGAGAAAAATTGTAACAGAATAATTTTTTGGGCAACTGATAAACTGTGTTTAGCCGGTAATGCCAGCTTTTACATTTCCTGTTAATTTATTTCAATCTTTAAAATACATAGCAGTTTCAAAGTGATTTTTGAAAATATAACTCATATCCATTAACATAATTACCTGACTATAATGTTTACATAATATACAGCTCAACACCAGTTTACATAATTACTTGAACATAAATTTAAATGATGAACACATTTAAGGATATCAAGTTACACATGGGGAAAAATCATGAAAACCAAACATGCAGCCAGCCTGTTTGCATAGTGCCAAATCTGGATAAGACAAGTTTTATGCAACTCATACAAATATTTCTTAAAGTTAATAAACTACAACAACAAACGTTAGATCTACCAACGTTTGTTATCCATACCTGAAAAAGTATTTGAGATAACATCACAGAATCCTTCTTGGCATGGTCCTTGTAAACATTATTTTTAATGCAGCTGTCACTAACTTAGTCACTGTACCAGCACAGTATACTTTATCAATTGGTAATGTTTATACACTTACTCAGCAAAATTTTACTATCAAGTTTGAAAATTTACATTTTCAAAATGTTTGATCTCATATTTGGACATATTTGCAGGAGGGCATTAAAAGCTAATTCTTGGTACTTTGTATTATCTAATAACATATACACTTTAGTTAAATTATGCATTTAACTCTTTAAATACCAAGCTATTTGTAAAGTTCTGCAGTCAAAATAATCTATCACTTGAAATTTCCTGTAAGAATTCTCTCTATATATTAAAACTCCCCTTTAACCCAATAAAGTGACTTGGCAGTTTATTGGGGTTGATGACAAATGGCCAGTTTCCTACAAGTTCCCTCTTAGCCTTTAAGGAAGCTGAAAGAAATGGTGCTTTTTTTTTTTTTTTTTTATTTATTAAAAAAAAAAAGGAACAGAAAAGAATTGCATCTCAAGTTCAAAAGTGAACTGATTAGCAGGATCAATGGAATTCATTGTTGAAAGAACTTTATCTAAATCATTTTTATTACCTTCAAACAGGGTAAAAGTATCGTCTACGTAGCAGAAACATACTGGGAAATTTAAAATTTCAAACAATTTTGATTCATAAGAATGCATTATAAATATCAACCAGAATGGGACTGAGGAGGCTTCCCATATCTAATCCCTCAGTTTGCTTGTAATATTTGTTTCGGAAAACCCTTAGTCGAGGATTCTAGATAACATTTCTCTAAAGAGAACCAGCATGAACATACATATTTCAATGTTTTTCTTATTTCAATATTATGCACCTGTTGGAATTATTTAAAATTTTTCTTCCTTTCAAAATTCTTTCCAAGATAATAATAAATATCAATAATGTACTCATTCACACTTATTGGCAAAGAAGATGCTCCCTTTTCAGTTGCTAAATTTAAGAGGTGACAGGAGCAGCCATAGTTTGGAAATCTATGTTTTTGTTTTATTAACATACTTGCAACACCAGTCTTCCATCCTACCATTACTAGTCCAATGTCGACACCGAGTGCTAAGTGATTATCCAGAGGAATTGTATTTTTTTTTTTAAAGTTTTATTAATTAGCTGTGCTACATTAAAGCCTGTTAAATCTCGTTCTAAAGTGAGGACACTACACTCAATTTCTGAAGACTCTGGATTAAAGAACGAAACAATTCGATACAGTTTTATCTCTGTATTATCCCTTCCATTCACAGACAGGCAAAATGGCACTATTTTAATGCTATCAGTAACTGAAGATTTATTTTTTGTGCACATTTCTTTAACAATTACAGCAATTTTTTTCCTTGCACTTGAGCATTTTTTTTAGCGATTTCGATATCAGAAAACTTTTTTCTAAATAAAGCTGCAATATGATGCAATGCATTCAGTGGCAGGTTGTGTTCCAGTAAAAAGGCAGAAAAAACCAAAAGGTTATTAATGCAGAAAATAACTTTTTGGTCCTTTGTTTCCACAGAAAAAAATTAATCCTCCCCCCCCCCAATACAACTCACTTTGTTCTTGTGTTTTTGCGTATGCTTTCTCAAAAGCACATGTAGCTCACAAAGCTCAGCGGTGAGATGAATGAAATAACAACCTCAATCTTGCTTTGTGCTTTATTAGCTAATGTATAGCAGATGATCTGCAGTGGTACTTGATGCTCATTGGAAAACTGGAACATGATATTTTTGGATACATGTGCTGTCATGCACAAAGCAGAAGCAGGCCATAATGTCTCACTGATAATACAACATTGGTTTTCTTTTATATATACTCTAGAGAAAAGTCAAACACTTCCAGAAGACAATTTTTTTTTTGGGGGGGGGATACAAACAATGAAGTATTAAGCCAAGTTACATAAAAATTGTAAGAAATTTTAAGAATAAGAGAAAGATGTTATAAATTGGGTTAGTGAGAGTATGGTCTGAATTCAAAAGAGTTGGCAACTCAGGAAAATTACAGCAATGTACCATTACAGATCTGCATCCTTTAGGTGAAAGCAGACATGACAACCTGATCCTAGGTTGCTAGTCAGTTGCTGGATGTTTCTATAATAAATCCTAAGAGCTGTTGAAGTCATAAAGATGTTAATTACAAAAAAGCACTATAAAGCTATTTTTTTCAGATGAGATGAAATTAGAAAATAATTTTTATACAAAAAATACTAAAAAAATTTTTATATATAGAGAAAACCAAAAAATCTCATCTAACTAATGATTTCATTAAGTACAAAACCCAGGATCAATGTAAAGTGTTTTGCAGCTTTAGCTATTTGGTCACTGGTGAATTAGATATATGAAGGAAGATTTTCAACTTAGGTTTTTTGTTTCTGTTTTTTGAAAACCTATTAAATGTCAGCTATTGTCATTCCAAATATACTGCATTCCACTAAAATATTGCTTCATACAGAGAAAGTTTTGTATATTTATTGGGGGGGGAAGAGAGAAAGGACTAAAGGATAATCTTTGTATGCATATAACATTAATCACAATGGCAAATATTTATAAAAATGTTTAATGATAAAACATGAAGTACATTAGAAAGTAGCATGTCTGTGAAAAACATATAATATACAAATAAAAAAACAGCCAGATTAATCAAAGCTTAATAAGAACTAAATGAAGAAAAAATTTAAAAAAACAAAATTGAAATAAAATTATATATGAAAAATTTCCAACAGAAAGCAAATTTTACTAAAATTAATATTTAATGGTTTTTAGTTTGGAATTTTCCTATTTTTAAATGCTTCTACAATTAATTTAAATTAACTGTTAGTAATATCATTACTATATATATTAAATATATTCACAAATTCGAAAACAAATCTGCGATCGTGTCAAACAATCTTCACTTGATTTTGGTTTGATTTAGCTGATGCATCTTAAAAGGTAATTTTCTCAATGTAATGAAACATCATCCACTTTTCATACATATATTTTTAATGATTTTGGATGAAAACAAGACAAAAAGTTTGCTCCAATTTTATCAAATTTTAGAACGACACTTTATAAAATGATTTTATAATAAAAACTTTCAGCTCATTAAATTTATTTCACATTGCCTTTGTTTTTTAAATGCATTTATATATAAAAATGTTAGGGATTTAAATATTTTATTACTTTGAATTTAAGTCACATGCGAGATTTTAAAATTTGAAAAAATAACTTTGAATTTAAGACACACCATAATTTTATGTCTTAAAAATTTGAATAAAAAGTATGATTTAAAGTCAAAGCAATATAGTAATTACTCTTTAAGATTCAAATTTTTATATGCTCAAATTAAGGAGTTAATGCTTATGCGTCAAATACATATAAATATTTGATGAAATTTTGAGATATAGAAAATAAATAAAAATTAATTTTTTTAAAGAAAACCAACCAGATTTCTGCAGCTACATATGCAAAATGTTCAGTCATATATATTTATTCTTCAGTATTTTGTTATTTTTCAATAATTTACATTTCATGATAAGTTCCATATTATTCCATATCAGTATCACATTTTTAAAACCAACAAAGCACAAATGTGTTCAATAATTTATCAAGTAACAGATAAAAGATTCCCAGCAGTGCAATCAAATGTGTAAATTTGCCATTGGATTACTAACATTTTCAAAATCGCTTCAATGAAAGGAACAGTTGTAAAAAAGTTGACCAGGATGCAACATAATGCATCTGAATATATTTAATTATCTACATTAAATTTCATTCTGTATCTTTCATTCTTTTACAAAACAAAGTAAACAATTTATTTACAACGTGTGTTATTTCACAGACATAGGTGTAATTAATTTTCACCACCATAGTAGGAATAATATGGATTTAAAGGCACTAGTCTTCATGAAATCTCAGCTAGGAAACATATACAAATGAGAATCTCTATTTTATAGCTATTGGTTAAGATTTTTCTTCTTTTATTTATTTTTAAATAAACTCATCGCCTTCTACTTGTTTCTTCTTTCATGATTTCTTCAATTGTTTTCAGATCAGCAGTATCTTCCTTTATAATATTAATTAGAAGTGCTATACCTTCTTGTTGTGCCAGCAATTGCTAAAACAAAAGGAACTCATTAATTGAAATGCAATGAATATATCCACTGAACAGCCAAAACATTGTAACCACTTACTCAATAATGCAATGTACGAACTTTAGCCTGCAAAACAGCTACAACTCACCTTGGCATGGATGCCACACATTCTTGAAAGATGACTGGAGGCAGTCATCTACCAACACTGCTTAGACATTTGGTAAAAACCAAATACCTAAGCAGCTATTCAAGCAAAGTCAAGATATTAAGACATGGTGGTGTTTGAGTTTTGAGCTTGCTGCTCCATGACAACCCAAATGTGCTTAAGATCCAGAGAGTTAGGTGGCCTGGCCATTAATTAGAACTTGTGCTTACGCTCCTCGAACCACTCCAACACAATTCAAGCCTTGTGACATGGAGCACTGTTCTGCTGGATGATCATTTCCAGTTGGGAAGACAGACGCTATGTAAGGGTGCAACTGATCTGCAATTATGTTCAGATAGTCCACAACTTTCATGGTCTATTCTAAAACAACTAAGGATTCCACAGCCCCATGAGAAAGTCCGTCCCCCAAAGCATAATACTGCCACCATCCACCCGTATATAACCTGTTGTATGGGTGGGGAGTTTGCCTGTAATATGGTGTACCCTGACATGACCATTGGCATGATGAATGAGAAATCATGGTTCATCCAACCAGGCAACTTTCTTCCACTTATCCATGGTCCAGTTTCAATCTTCTCAGGATCACTGAAGGCATAGTTGATAATGATGCTTAGTCAACAGAAGCATATGAGTGGGACATCTTCTGCACAGTCCCATATCCAACAGTGTCTGCTAAACTGTGTGTTCCTAAACACTTGCACATGGACCTGCGCTGTATTAGGCTGTCAGCCAAACCACTGTCTGGCACCAATTTTGCTGTACCAAGCGCTCTTTGAGTTTTTTTTTTTTTTCCCCCTCTGATGATGTGTGGACATCCAAAACATTGGCATCTACTGCTGGTTTCACCATCAGTTATCCACTTTGCATAAATATTAATGGCAGATAGTGACAAACCTACCAGTCATGCAGTTTCAGAGATACTCGTTCCGAGTCTTCAGGCCATTACAATCTGCCCTCTACCAAATTTACTTAGATCAGCAGCCTTTCCCATCCCTTGCGAAAGTAACTGCAAAAATGATTTCTTACCTTCTCCAACAGCAGTTAAATACTATTCTCACTAAATTATGTGCCCTCCAGGTCATCCAGATAAGTTCATTGAAAAATGTGGGGTATGGTCATAATGTTTTGGCTGGTCAGTGCATACTCATTTTGTAAACAATACATATATTTATTTTTGCAAACAATACAACACATACATACTAATTTCATTCAGCAACAAAATTCATTAGTTACTTGACATTAATTTTAATAAAATCAATGCATTTTAAATGATGGCACAAGCACTGTTTATCATGTCCATAAATTATTTACCAACAATACACTATTCCAACATTATAAAACACAAAATGCAATTGATTAAAGACAAATGAGATTTAAAACAAATTTATAAGATACTGTATATAAAAACAATGAAAGGAAAGACTAAAGTTATAAATGATAATTAATGCTAATGGTTTCAAAGAAATTTAACTTACTAATATTAAACTTTTGCCATACTACTGGAAAAAAAAAAAAAAAGAGTTACAAAACCAAGCCTGACCAGAAATGAAAGATTCAAACATTTGATAATAAAACACACTGGCGTTGAACATCTAAATGGCTATAATTCAGATATAATATACAGTCTTTAACAACTGCATCATAAATTCAACTGATGGAAAAAAAAATCTTCAATGAATGAATATAATGAATTTGATGATGAAAAGAAAGGGAGAAAAGATTGCCATCTGTTATGGCAAAGGGAATACTTTCATATGCTTTATCAAAAATGAAAGCAATTTTGCTTCACAAAACAGATAATGAAGAAGCTATTTTTTGTTTTGTAGAAATGGCAGTAATTTGCTTGCATAGTAAGTAAATAGAAAAGATTTCTAACATATTACAGTTTTAAATTTTAATTTAATGCCAGTTGTGCAAATTAAGATCAAATGATTTAAGTTTAAAACAAAACAATAATAAAATATAATGATTTCATTTTGGTATGTCATAAGTTAAATTTTCTCTTGCTAAAGTGTGACCTTAGTGAAGAAATTATATTACCTAAGCATGAGCCAATAAAGATAGCTATACAAATTTTTCTTCAAGTTGTAAAGATAACAGTAACTTATTTCCTTTAAAACAATAATGATTTGAATCAAACTTCAGAGCTACAGTACAAACTCCAAAATCTGGACTCGTCAGGACTTCGTTCATTCTGGATTTGGGATTTTTCCGGATATTAGATAATTGGTTTAAATCTAGTAAGATGACATGTAGAAATTACAAAATTAAAAATATGAAATTGTGATTTATGAAATAATGAATTATTTATCATCTAAAGGGTAACAAAATTAAAAAAAAAAAAAAAAAAAAAAAAGCCTAATATTTATTTGTTTACCTTATTAAGCATTTCTTTCAATTTAAGTTGTTTTGTTTTTTTTTGTGCTCATACTTTCTCTTTAATTCTGTAGACAGACATAATCTCTTGTTTAGTTACATTGTTGAAGTCCTGTAACTGCATTCCGACTAACTTGTCAATGGAAATTTTTTCGTTTTCAGTAACTTCTCCATCACTTTCTTCTGGATCTAAAACCATACTACAGATTTCGCCATTCATTAATTTATTGAGGATTGAGAAGCATTGTCGTCATCACCATGAAAAACTTCTTTTATATCATCTCCATTTATTACCGCTTCTCCAAATTTCTTTACAAATCCATTAATTGGAAAATTTCACCTTTCCTTTGCAACTTCCGAAAACCTTTAAAATTAGGGACTATCATCATCAAATTTAACTATCATTCATTATATACATATTTGGCTATGCATCATGAGCTTGGAGACTAATGACAAGTTGTTCCGGTAAATTTTATCTTGCTTCTATCGTGCACTGAGACAATTAAGCCTGAATTGTATTAATTTAGTTATTTATTATACTTATGTCTGTTTCTTGCACATACTTAAGGCTTATCAGAGTTCTGAATAAATAAATTCCCACATACACTTAAGCCTTATTGAGGGCCAGCGCTAGATATCTTACCGCCTGATGCAGTCTCTGTCGGTCCTAAATTCTGCCGCGCAGTGCAGCCATACAAGCACTGGCATTGGTTCTGGGTTTATGCGAGTAATAAATCAGTTATTCTTAATTCAAATAGCCTTAAATGTAGTCTTTTGGCCTATGAGTATCATTAAAAAATCTATTTTTAGCATATAAAAAAATTTGTTAAAGTTTTCGTCATCAACACTTTTTAGCACATTTAACTTAAATCTGTAATTATCGTCAAGCGTAATGTCAACATAAAAGGTTACCATACTCCTTTATTATTCAATTACTAACATAAAAAAAAATTTTAGGCATTGCTACATGAGTTATTACTCAAGTTGTCATGTGTTGATAAACATGCGTTGACGAAAGGAAAGTATAATAAATAAAGATTCGCCATGTTGGCATCAGGTGAATGGTGAATCTATGTGGAATGTTTCGGTTTGAAATGTGTGCCAATGCAGATACGCAGCAACGGAGCCAATTTACTGATCGTACAAGTTTTTGCTAAAATGATTGTTTCTTTAATAACAAGTTATTTTATTTAGTACCGAAGTGAAATTAAGAATCGGGATTCTGCAGATGTTTTATTATGCACAGAGGGGGGAATCAAATGCGCATGCAATAAAACCTATGAGAAAAATGGTTTTGAGGTCTGTATTTTAGATCATTCCGGATAATGGACGTCTGGGTTTTGGACTTTGTACTGTATTTATAAATTTACGAGGGCCATCCAGGAAGTAGATTACGTTTCCCGTCTGTGTCCGCTAGGGGTGGGGGCTAGCGCGGCCATCTTGGGGTCAGAGCGTTGCGCAGCTCAGTCTGCATCTAGCCGTGCTAGTGAGAGGTTCGTGCTGTGCTCCGTTCAGATACTGTGACGGTTTGAAATGTCTGCGTTAATTGAAAATCCCGCGAGCTGCGCTCAGTAATAAGGTTTCTGACTGCAAAAAACTGTAAACCGATAGAAATCTATCGGCAGCTTCGTGAAGTGTATGGGGACAACATTATCACTGAAGGTGGAGTGGGTCATAAGATTTCAAAATGGCCGAACCAATGTTCACGACGAAGATCGAAGTGGGAGACCCAGCATATGTGACCGCCGAACTTCTCGAAAAAGTCGATGCTAAAGTCCGTGAAAATCGAAATTTCACAATAACGGAACTTTCTTTGAGTTTTCCACAAATTTCGCAAAGTTTGTTGCACGAAATCATCAGCGAAAAGCTTGGTTACCACAAGTTTTGTGCAAGATGGAAGGCAAGAAGAGGTAACGAAGTGGTTGAAGGCGCAGGCGGCCGAATTTTTCGACGAAGGAATTTCCAAGCTCGTACATCGCTACGATAAATGCCTTAATTTGTACGGTGACTATGTAGAAAAGTAGTATTTGAGTGTGGCTTTCATCTGTATATAATAAAATTTGTTTCCTATACTTTGTTTATTTTTTTATTCCAAAACGTAATCTACTTTCTGGATAGCCCTCGTATAAAATGGCAGCTCACTTAATGAAAGTCATTAAGAACAAAATAGTATGTTTTTAGAAGTGTGATAAGAAAGAACCAAAATTACTACATTTAAGCAACACAAAAATAGTCAAATTATGGAAGAAAAAAAATGACTGCATTTTAAAACTGTATGAAAAGCATGAATATGGTGACAAAAATCAAAATTTTGGAAAAAAAGATTCTACCCCTCCAAAAAAAATCATGGAAATGACTAAAGTTTGTTAAGAAACAAGGCATTTTGATTCATCAAGCTGCTCAAAAACTACAGATATCAGAAACAAGTATTCATTAAATAAAGACAGATATGTATTTAAAATTTCTAAAATGAAAAGCATACGTTTAAGGTAGTTCAGAAAACAAGGGATTATATTTAATTGGAATTGGGTTAAAACTTTGCACTGATGATGATTCGAATGTTATATTTGATTTTAATCTCAGAGATGGCATTAAATGTTATAATTCAATATTTTCTAACTCTATCCACGTACATTTCAGGATAATACTTAAAGAAAAATTCACAAGAAATGGAAGGGTATAGCACGCAATAAATAAAGATTGTAAACATTTCTAAACCAGTCTTTTTTTTTTTTTTTTTTTTTAATGAAATTCAATGCACAAAAGAAAATTTTGAATCTTTTCATCAGCTGGATTCAGCTACCTGCCATTGTTCAAAAGATACTGTTAACTATTTGAAACCACCACAAAATCGAATTTGAGTCCAAACCAGATAATACTCCAAACTTAAAATTAAGGCTTTGGGGTAATATTAAAGTCAACTATCCCATGGGATAAAAAGGAAAGGGAATCTATAATTTGACACATTTGAAGAGAATTTACCTTCAGAGTTATCATTTTCTAAAGAAACAGAATTGATGCACACAAGGACAGCTAAATCTTCATAAAGTGTATTAAAAAAGTGATTTATGCAGTAACTTTAAATGTGTAACTCAATGAATTAACTAAATAGTACTCTGATTAAGTTTTAATTTTATAGGAATTATAACTTTCAAAGATCCACGATAGGAAGAGAGAGAGAGAGAGAGAGAGAGCTTTTACTTGCACATAGAGTCCAAAATTAAGATCGTTTTTCTTTATAATTTGGAATTAAAACAGTATTAGCAATAATAGTATACCTGAGAGGATTTCTCATTAATCTTCATATATGACAAAACTAATTATTTTGGGAAACAAAGTGTCTGATTTAGAGAAAGTTTAGGACAGATTATCAACTTCAGAAGAATTACACTGTCAATAATGACTAAAGATTAATAATTTTCTGTACATCAGAAGAAAATTTTGCAATAACTGGTTTTGCTTACTCAAATGGAAGATTTCTCCGCAACAACTCATTAAAGGAAAACATGATTGAACTAGGCAGAAAAATATTATCAACTTCAGGAGGAAAAAGAAAATACAGCACAAGTATGGTTAAAATGCAAAGGAAAAATTAAAATGCCTATATATTTAGTGCACAGAAATACGTGTTAAATTATAAACAATGCAGTAAAGCAGAATGATAAAATGATATTATCTGCTCTTGCAAATCTTGGCAAAGGTGTACACAAATTTACAAAATTAACAATAGGAAGTAATAGGAAGTATTAATGAATTATTTTTAGTGAACTGAAAGAATAAGTGATGTTAAAAAAAATTTTTTTTTTTTTTTAACTACACTAAAAAGAAGTTGAATGATTTTTGGGAATCAAGCAGTATAGCTTTTATTTTAAAGATCTGACATACCAGCATTTAGGATAATGATTTGACAAAGTTTGACTTAGCAATAATTATATCTAGATTTGAATGAATTTCTTATAAAAAATTGTTTTTAACTACACTAAAAAGAAGTTGAATGGTTTTTAGGAATCAAGCAGTATAGCTTTTATTTTAAAGATCTGACATACTAACATTCAGAATAACGATTTGACAAAGTTTGACTTAGCAATAATTATATCTAGATTTGAATGAATTTCTTATAAATGATTCTTCCCTTCTGGATTAAAATTAAGAAACAATTACTAAGTATTGAAGACAGCTATTATGAATAATTAGATAATGGATTGTTTGTTTTCAGATATTTTGTTAAATTTAGAAGCTTTTTTAGCTGAAGCAATTATTTTGTAAAGCAAGATTTTAATACCTGGGGAGGGGACCTGAAAGCTTTCAGATTTTATATTATGCCCAAAGGGGTGTTTTTTTTTTTAACATTTTAAAATAAAATTCAGTTCAACAGCAAATATAAATAAATATCACAAAATATTTAAATATAGCATACCTTTAGAATTTCCTCTCATGTGGTCTATTTTTTTTGGGGGGGGGGCACATGAGAAGAAATAGACAGTCTCCTGCGGTGGAGATAAAAATGCTATTTTCCGTACAGTGTTGCCATTGCTTGCTTTGAAATCGTTGAGTTTGTTAGTCAAAAATTCCTTACAGTTTTACAAAATATGAAATGGAAAATAGAAAAAATTCGAAATTTGGGTGTTCGTGTGGAGGATTATATTATTCAAAACTGATGGCTCAAAGTACTGTCTTTTTTATTCCAATGCGAGAAACATACATTCATACAGATTCTTCATTATTTAATTTCTTTAAATATAACACAGGGCGATAATATTTGGTGGCAACAATTTGAAAAAGAATTTGAAATGGGCATTTACAGTGAAACAATGCAAAATGTCATTTTGAAAGTAATAATCCTGGGGTACCGCCCGTTTGGATTAAAATGAGGAACGGGAAAAGAGATTTCAATATTTTATTTTGATCTTCTGATTAATATGAATTAAGAGATTTACCTACATACATATATTAACTAGGAATTAATATTTAATATCATTAAAATTTTAAAATAATGACAAAAATGACTTTAGAATGAGGATTTGAAATTTGAAAGCAAAAATTGCATTTTTAGTTTCTTGGCATTTGGTTGTTCCAACACATTTTCATTACATTTATTACACTTTTTTATTATACATATATTTTTTACAAGAGTGTGTAAAAGAGAGCAAACTGAAAATTAAATGCAACAGCTTCAATTTATTTTCAGATTTTTTGAAGAAATTGATGGCACTGGACATTTTATGATTCCATTGGCAGCAGCAGCTGAATCATTTTCAAAGCAATATAATTTTTGCTCCATGAAATCTAAATTCATTCTTAATTTTTTTTTTTTTTTTTTTTTTTCTGTTTTAAATATGCTTAGGTACTTGGTACTGATTTTGTCTTAATTTTTTTTAAAATTATCATGTATTATTTCTGCATTAAAATTCTTTTTTCTCTTTATCTATGCAATGAAAAGTGGTAGAATTAGGAAAGACATCTTTATCCATCATTGATGAAGATTAATTATACTGCACAAAACACACTTTATTGTATAATGAATGATTAATGTTTGAAATTAAATTAGGAAGCATGCAGAAAACAACAATGGTGTTCAAGGCACCTATATTAGGTACATTATTTTATTTCTGATTATATTATTGCGATATAAATGTTGGTTTAAATCTCACTAGTTTCATCTGCTTTCATGTTTTTGTTGCTGAATAATTCTGATACTTGGCAATTTAAAACTAATGTTCATTATTTTTTACCATTTCCATTTATTATTATTAAAAAAGGAACTCAATAATAACATGATGATATATAGGATGAAATAGACATATTATAAATGATGAATAAAGAATTTTCATGCAAATAATTTGCACAAATTTTACTAGTTTTACTTTTTTCTTAAAAGACAATCTTTTTGTTCCTTTTCTTTTCCTTTTTGGGTATGTGTGTGTACGAGTGACAGAAAAAGAGAAATCAGCTAAGCCTTTCAATAAAAATATTATTCACATAAAATATAAAATTATTACTTCTTTTATTTCTTCTCTAGAAACTTCATCCATACTATATCGCTCTCCCTCAAATGTTGATGTTTGATAATTCTGCATCCGAATCTGTGATGTGAGTTCTTTTAAATGACCCTATGAAATTAACAACATATACTTACATTTAGTGAAAATAATAACACCACAGAATAATGAACTTACATTATGAATTTTATTAATTGCATCATTCAAGTTTTTTGCAGGAACTTTTTAGATGAATTTTATTAATTGCATCATTCAAGTTTTTTGCAGGAACTTTTTAGAGTTAAAAAAAAAATAGATTTGATACTTTTATTCCAAGATATATTTCAATACCTTAAACTGAGTAGGTGCACTAAGTTCTGCTTGAATAGCTTCTAATTTAATTCGTAATTGTTCCTCATCTGCTTGAATAGCATAACCCATTTTCCTTATAACTTCTTGGTGAACTAAAACTTTAAGAACTCTATGCTGTAACTCTAAAAGTTTTCTCTTGTGCTCAGCAATCTTGGCAACTGTTGTTGTGTGATTACGATTCAATTCTGCAATGTCATCAGAAATAATCTGAAATGCAAAATTAGTTTGATACATGCAATATACTTACTTATGATCTTACAATTATGTGCATTTATACCAGAAACATTTCATTATATTCTGCTTGAATAGGCAAATAGTAATAATCTACCTCAGTAAAGCAAATGGGAGCTATTTGATTTAAAAAGGTACCTTACTGAAGGATGTTTTATGATGAACTGACTTGCATGCACATTACTGAATAATAATAATAAAATGAAAATCCAATACAGCTAACTTATTCAGATACCAAGAATCAAATTTGGAATAAACTATCAATATTCAAAGGTTTTATATATTCAACTACACTGAATACCAATAAGTATTTGGACACCTATGCAAATGACGATATCTGCGATCCCAAGGTACGTCACGGACTCCGCCGGTGTATATCGTGTAGGAAACAGCATCGCATGCAAGCTGCCTCACAGTTCGGAGCTCTCTGATTTCGAGAAAGGTAATTATCAGGCATCACAAATGTGGCCGATCCTTAAGGGACATATCTAGCGATCTGAAGTACCCAATATCGACAGTGGCCTATGTGATTAAGAAGTGGAAGGTGAGCGGTGATTGTCGGAATGTGCCCCCGAATTGGCAGACCAATGAAACTGGAGGATAGAGACCGACGAGTGCTCTTCAGAGAAATTCGGAAGAACCGCACCCAACCGATAGCCCTCATCCGTGAGGAGTTTCAACAGGCATCCGGGAATATTGTTTCAATGCATACCATCCGTAAGGAAGCACATGTGCTTGGTTTTCATGGTCGTGCTGCTACCCATAAGCCTTTGATCACAAAGCCCAACCGCGCTACTCGGTTAATGTGGTGCAAAGCACATCCAAATTGGACCATAGATCAGTGGAAACGGGTTCTTTGGAGTGACAAATCAAGGTTCACCCTTTACCGTTCTGATGGCAGGGTCTGGGTCTTGCGTCTACCTGGAGAACGTCTCCTGCCAGAATGCATTGTGCCAACAGTCAAGTTCGGCGGAGGTGGAATTATGGTCTGGGGGTGTTTCTCCTGGTATGGGCTGGGACCCTTGGTCCCTATTCATGGTAAGCTCAACTCCGATGCCTACTGCACTATTTTGGATGACAATGTGCTTCCTACATTGTGGCAGTTTTACGGGTTGGACACCTGTTACTTTCAGGACGATAATGCCAGTTGTCATGTTTTGACGTTAACCAAGGCTTGGTATGGTGCCAACGGAGTTCATTGAATGGACTGGCCTGCTCAGAGTCCAGACCTGAACCCTAACGAGAACCTCTGGGACGAGTTGCATCGCCGAATTAAGGGGTGCACTATCCGTGCAAAATCGGTGAAGGAACTTCTATGTCTTCTCCAAGCTGAATGGAAGAAAATACCAAAAAGACTGTGGAAAAAGACAAAGACTTGTGGAAAGTATGCCCCAGAGGGTCCATGCTGTAATTACCTCTCGTGGAGGCTCTACCAACTATTGATTTTGAATATAGTTTTTCTTTTCTATCACAGGTGTCCAAATACTTATTGGTAGTCAGTGTATTAGATAGATTCTAACACAGTTTAAAGTTTTACAATCCATACAATTAACTTAATTTTAGCTTATTGCAGAATCAATGCAAAAAATTTTAAATTACATATATCAAAGAGAGAAAAAATTATTACTGAATATATTTAAAATTAGGAAGATAAAAAAGGGGGGGGGGAACTTTGTTATAAATTTTAAATAAAACTCTATTGATTTTGATGATGACTAGGCCCAAGTCCTCTTCTTTAGTGGGTAATAAATTAAAGTGGTGCAACCAGCAATGGGTGAAGCAAAGTGAAAATGAACATAGTGCCATCTGTTGAGGAAAACATGGGATATTACGATTTTATAATTCTAAAATCGAATTAAAGAAGTCTATTAAAGGAGATAAATTTTTGAAATGTGAAAAACTTCACGAAAATCCAATTCACCAACTGAAAAAGCTTTATGAATAATTTTGGCAGAACTAAAATCAAAATTGTGATTTAATGCCCAACTATGATCATCTATTGAAGATTTGTTTATTTTACCTTTTTGAACATACAATTCATGTTCCACAATATAAAATTTTAATGCTCTTTAGTATCGCCATTATATCTCAAACCACACTGATAAGATGTACTCTAAATTACCCAAGAATTTAAGTAAGATCTGGAATCGAATAATACATTTTAGTAACTACTAAATCAAACAACAAATTTTAATGAATTTTAGGGAAAAAAATTGGGTTTTGATGGATTGATTCTTATGGTTTTATTAGCCCCTAGATTCACAGTTTTTAAATTAACCCCAATAATATATATATATATATATATATATATATACATATAATTGAAATAATAACAGTTTAAAGAATTTCTCCCATACAACAACTTTACAGTGTGCTGTTCTGCTTGTAGCATCTAGAAAGTCTCTGGTTTGAACCCTAGCTAGCACACGGATTTATTTTTCAAATTTCTTCCTTCTACAAAAATAATACTTCTAAACTGATAAAAATAGAAACAACAGTCTAATGCTCTTGATGCTTATTTTATCTTATTTAACTTAATTATAATAAAGCAACTGAGGGCTATCTGCTTAAAATGAGGGATGCCTTCATTGAGGACTTTCTATATGAAATAGCTCATACACATGTTACAGATGGGAAAACCTTGAAAATACCCATGTGCTAGAATTCTAAACCCAGACCAAGTTACCAGTATTCAGCTATTTTACCGCTCAGCCACTGGTGCTCTTGATGTATTATAAGAACATGAGTTTTGTACTTGCAGTTGGAAAATTGAACATATTTTTCCAATTACAGTGAAAAGTCGTTAATCCGGACTTGTCGGGACTTTGGCGATTCCGGATTATCGATTTTTCCGGATTATAGATCATCAGTTTAAATCGTGTAAGATAGCATGCAGAAATTCTAAAATTAAAAATATGAAACCATAATTTATGAAATAAAGAACAATTATGATCTAAAGGGTATCAAAATTTACAAAAAAAAAAAAAAAAAAAAAAAAAAAGCTTAATATTTATTTGTTTATTTTATTAAACATTTCTTTCAATGTAAGTTGTTTTAGTTGCTTCGTTTCATGTGATAATACTTTCTCTTTAATTCTATAAACAGACATCATTTTTTGTTCACTTACAAAGTTCTGCTGTTCAAGTCCTGTTAATTGCTGTGCCGAGAATACTGACTAACTTGTCAATCGAAATTTTTTCGTTTTCACTAACCTCTCTTCTGTCACATTCTTCATGTCTTTATCCATTTTTTGCAGCAATTCCACTTTTTGTTTGATGGACATCTAAACATACTTTTGTTTTGTACGATCCTTTGGCAGCTCCAGAATCAAAAATTCTATTTGACATAATCGAAAGTTCAAGTTTACTTGTTTAGTATTGCTCTTACAGTCTGCAAAAAATAATAAGCCGGATCCAATTCGAAAATTAAGGAACAACACAATCAACAACATTAACTGAAATAGATAATTAGATAATTTTAGCTTACACCGTCCGTTATACATAAAACGCGCACGTGAAAACGTATTCTGCGCTTGCGCACACGCAAATGCGCAGTCGTAAGAGGTCTTACGCGCACGCGTAAACGCCTATGCACATGTGTCAACGCGGAGCATGCGCAGAAAGTTTTTAGCTTTGAGGTCCGGATTATAGATCATTCCGAATTATGGGTGTCCGAATTAACGACTTTTGACTGTATTATATTTATATAGAGGTATTGTACACTTTTTCATATAATATTTTCAGTCAGTGTTACTTTTAGAGTAGTTACCTAATAAAAAAATAAAGTTTTATAAGTATTTACATACATAAGTTAGTTTTCAGTATTAAAAAAAATTTCGTTTTTCTTTGATTAGAATAGTTAAGCATGTATATATTGATTTCATACTTCACTGAATTAAGATTATTTCCCATAATTCATTGCAATCTTAAATTTTATTATTTTATTATTCAGTGTAATAATACGAAATTATTTTTGAAGGATAGAATTGGTAAAAGTTTTGAAATTTGAAAAAAAAAAAAAATAATGGTAAAGAATTTTTAAATAAAATTGTGCAGAACAGTTCACAATTACATTCATATTTACTCAGCTATATTTTCTCAAGAATGTTTATGGATCAATAGACATGCTTAAAAAGGCAAATATTAGAAATCATATAAGAAATTACTTTAAAGTAGAAATAAGCTTTTTAATAGAACTTTGAATATCTGGAATGATCTGATCACAGTCTGGGCAACAAGTTTGCTAATTCATTTATTGTTATGCTCACATGAGACCATTATTTTTTTATTCACAGAATGTTTTTTCATCTACGGTTTTACAGCTATGAAATTTAAAGATTTTAATCTCTGTAAAATAAAATACAAAACAGATATTCTGTGGAAAAATTGAAATGTAAAATTCTTTTTATTTACCAAAATGCACAACCTATTTCTACTTCAACTAAAAAAAATATTAATTTTTGTTCATATGGCTGGCTCAGTCAAAAATAAACATAAACTTCTCCCTCCCCCAGGAATAAAAATTAAACAGTATACTTTTTTGCATAAAACAAAACATTTATTTTTCTGAGTTCAGTCAAAAATAGTTAGCCTATTTGAACATTCCAAAGCAAACGAGGGATAGTTTCATGAAAGGCTTTTTAAGGGAAATTGGCTTGTGTTCCCTTTGCACATGGAAGAAAGCTTTCAAAACACCTATGATGCAGCTAGGCTGTTCACTTATATTCAAACCTAAACTAAACTATTAGTATTCAACTGTCTTCACCATTTGGCTATTAGCAAAGGTTCGAAAAATTGCGAACACATAAATGAATAAATAAGTTTAATTTTCAATATTAGGTTTGAGAGAAGATCAAACAGTTCAGATAACTGGAGCTTTTAATATCTGCAGTAAGACAGCCCTTACTATAGTTCTTGCGTTCTGCAGTTTTAGTTTCCCATTTAAAAATATACTTGATCGGTTTTTAGAAACAGACATAAAATGTTTCTCAGTATCGTTGGAGAAAGTCGTTCAATGGAATGTAACAATACATTCTGTGCAAAATTATATGGGGGGGGGGGATCTTCTCTTACAAAATGCTTCAATTTTATGATACATATGTGCATAATATATACAAAATTTAAATTTAAGCATGGCTTTTATAATTTATTGATATTGTGATTTTTTTTTTTTTTTTTTTTTTTTTTTAATACTGAACCCAAGTTTTACATAACTTTGCAATCAAATGGTTTATGCTTACACAATTTTGTCACATTTTAGAAAAGTACTTAAAATAAATAGATGATATATCAGGCTAAAGAAAGTGGATAACTCTCATAAGAAAAACTAAAGGAGAAAGAAAAAAAAAAAAAAAATTCACAGATCACATTTTTAAAATACTCTAATTAGCTTATTATAAACTAAATACTATAGTTCTCTTTTTTTTTAAAAAAAAATTTATGGTTATTATAATGAAAAATAAGAGGAATAAAGATGTGATTATAGACCATCTATTTCAACGTTCTGTACATACAGTATTATATTTATATTAAAATAAATTTCGCAATCCTTAATTTTACCAAAAAATAATTATATTCGTATGAGTTTTGCATACTTCATAAAAAAAGCATGCACATATTGATATTCCCTAAAATAATTTGTTAAAATTTTAAAAGGTGTTTAATGAGCTCCAGATACTTCATTTCATAAAATAACAAGCACACACTTATATTGTATACAACAATGTCTTCAAAGTTTACGTTACTTCACCAAATGCAAATTATAAGAATATTCTGTTTTCAGAGCTTTTATAAAAGGGGAGTTCCATTTAGTATAAATGAAACATTTATTGCTTTTGTTTACATTCAACTGATTTTATAATGATGAATTCTGCTGCAATTTCCAATTCTTCATGTACAAATGAATTCTAAAAAATAATTATTTTTTCTCTTAAATTTATTTCACAGCTCTAAAACTATTTTCGATTACGTTTTCATTAAATAAACAGTTTGTTTTAAGAAGGAAAATTTATATCCCAATTGAACTTAGTATTTCTACTTTTCTAATCTAAAAATTGGTATGTTATTTCAGAAGAATACCTATTTCTCCATGAAAATGTTAATAACCAATTATCACTTTTTCTTAATGACTTAATAAAATATCTTATACAGACAATTCTACTTAATGTTTTAATTATTTTATGCTTTTTCACAAATTATATTATTGAATGGGCATTCAGTCATACAAAAAGCAAAATTACAGAGCTCAGAAGAAAAAAATGGTCGCTAATGGGCACAATAGTACCTTTTTGTGCTTTCTCTTTTCATTCCCAGCTCAAAATAGTGCCATTTCGTCCGCTGCTTTCTCCCATGATTCTTTTTTTCCTGTTTTATCTGCTCTTCAAAAAGGCCTTTTACAATAAAGCCAATACCTGTTTTTGTTGATTTAAATGCTTTAGACGAGATGACCATTACTATTTTGATCTTGCATAACTTTTGATTTCTAATATTTATTAGATATTTTTTTTCAAATTATTCTGAACAGAATAATAAATTTCAGGCATGTTAAAAATGAATATCTGAATCTAGTTATATTTTTGGTATATAATAATTTTTAAATTTCACATACTTCTACAACAAACATGCAAGCAATACAAGCAACAGAACCATGAATACTGCTTTGAAAGAAATTAAAAATGTAACAAATGTACACTGCGCAAAAAAAAGGGGGAGACAGTTCTATATCTCCCGTTCTACTGGGCCGATTGACAAAATTCAACTTGCGTTTTTCATGTCTCGAAAACGTGACTTAGGATATGTATTAGATTTATATATAGCATTATTCTAATATAGGTATTTTGACAAAAATTGGGCTCTTTCTGAAATGACATGCCAATTTTTTTATTTTGATTCTAAGACTTAAATTATGGCAAACCGCCAAATTTTGTAAAAATCGCACATGTAGTTTTAAAAAAATTATCTCTCAAGATTTTAACTCCTCCTTGTTAAATGAATTTGCTATAATCTTTTTTTTATTAAACTTATTTAATTCTTCCTTTTACATTTCGAAATTTAAGTTCATTCCAAATAAATTTACCCATTTTTTACGATTTATTTTTAAAATTTGTATTTTTAAATAATTTTTTTAAAGTTTTAAAAAAAATGAATTAAAAATCTATAAAATTTTTACCATCATCTGAAAGTAGATGTATTTCTAAGCATACCTGCGAAAAATTAGTTTTTTATTTAAAATTTCCGAAGATATACATGAATTTATATACTGGTGCATTTTGAAATTTGGCATATTTGTTGAAAGCGATAAAACATCAAATGTGGTTTAGACACTTTGCTAAAATTATTTGAAAGTAGGAAAGCTGTAACTTTTTTCTTCTCATGCACAATGTGAAAATGTAGGAAAGAGTTGCTTTTTCTGTAAATTTCACACCTAATTTTACAAATTTAATATCTAATTAATTTTTAATAATTTTTGAGTCATAGAATCAAAACATGGAAAAAAATTGGTATGTTATTTCAGAAAAAGTCCGATTTTGTGTCAAAATACCTATGTTAGAACAATGCTATATATAAATCTCATATACATTTTAAGTCGTGCTTTCGAGATATGAAAAATGCAATTTAAATTTTGTCAATTAGCTCAGTAGAATGGGAGATACAGAACTGTCCAATTCCCCCCTTTCGCAGTTGCCACTGCCATTACTTATTTACATTCTCAGAAATACAGGGTCTATTTTAGAAAGTGACCTCTTTACAAGGTCATCTTCTGAAAGTCGTAATACAGGATGCAGTTATTTTCTAACAGATAATGGAATTATTTGAATCCAATGTCAGTTAAATAAAAAGGGTGGGTCTTCATACTAAGAGCAAAATAACTAATTTTTATTTCACAATAAACTATTATATAAACTTACCTGTTTTCTTAATATTTGTGAATGTGGTTTTCTTTAAAACTGCACTGAATTTTCAATATGTTTTACAGCAAATATATAAATATTATATTTCAAATAAAATATTCAAATGAAACAGGCTATTTTTATACCTTCCAAATATATTTAAAATCATCAAAACTTGAGAAAGAATAGAAATCAAAATATGTAATTCGAGAATGCAGTTATCACTGTTAGTTAGTGCATGTATAAGTTTATAAGCATATGAGAAACATCTGTGCATCGCTTCAATTTACTATCACATACTACTTTTTTTTTTTGGTAGTTAAATAATACTCTACTAAATAGAATTTTAATTTTAAAAAAGGACTTTTTTTAAGATATATGCCCCACTGCAGTAACAGTATAACTCAGTTATTATACTATATCAGTCAAGTGTCAAAAATAAAACAATTACATCCAGTCTTTTTTGGTGCTGCTTTGTTTCATATTCTTGGCATTTCATTCGTCGAGAAAGCTCTTGAAATCCAATTAATGGCACAGGAATCAGTTTTTCTGGATCTGGATTATCAAGTTTGGATTGTTTCCATACTATTGGTTCAATGCCTAAAATAATAATATATTTTACATTTGGTTCACATAATACATTTAGTCCCTTTTTATACAGTATTAAGATAGAAATATCAGCAGGTTTCAAATATTTTAATTTGTACAGTAAGATTAAACTTTATTTTTGAATAAAGTAAAGGTTAAAAGTATTAAAGATCACTTCTTATGACACTCTTTTAATATAATGAGAACCTTAAAAAAATTAAATTTGACTTATTAATAATTTTCAATCATTCAAAATATTTAAATGATTTTGTGAAAGAAATCAAATACAGTTTTACATTTGAAGAAAAGTAATTAAAAGAGAAAGCAGGTGGAGAGGGGAGATCTGATTTCATTTTATCATTATTCTGCAATCAGCTCAAATGAATCAAGATCAGTTTTATGCATTTAACCATCAGTCATGATGTGAAACATGATGATTACCACTGACAAATGTAATCAGTCATAATGACGAAATTCTTAATTATTCCAAAATAAACTAAACAATTTTTCCAGCAATAAAAAATAAAGAGACTTAGAATGAGTTTTACAGCTAAGAAGCTTCATAATTTTTTTTTCCCCCTCTACCATGATACAGTTATATTTTATTTGGTAGAGAAAACGGATATTTACTTCCATGTCAGTATGCACTAATATACCAGCTCATATGGCTCTGAGAAAGCAAAATTGAGAATTTATTATACTTTTTACTGTTACTCAAAATAATGCAATTTCATGCAAAACTGATACACTGAGCAAAAAATAATACTAAAATAACATCATTTGGATTAGAGAATAACAAAATTCAAAGACTTATAAATTACTTAACAACTGAGCTAGCATAATACATATTTTTTTCTTTATAATTTAACAGTAAAGACTTTGCAAATACAAGCAATTCAATGAACAATAGAAAATGTCTTAAATAAATAAATTTTCTTTTTAGTTATTTGTAAATTAATATATCATTATGTAATGAACTAAAAGAAAAATTTAAACATATAAACTCACCAGCAGGAGGATTATCAAGATAATGCTGAAGTTGTTCTTTAGTTGGCATTATTTTGGGAGCAGCACTCACAACTCCCATATTAGATATTTGAGGTTTAACCGTAGGCTGTTCCATATAACTACAGACCTCAGCTGATGGAATGCGTCTTGTTAAGCCAGTTGGTAAACGTTCCAGCAAATAGAATACAACTTCAGTTCTGAATCATACATAGATGGGGGTAAAAAATCATATTTACATCTGTATTTAATAACTATCTCATTACTAAAGTAAAGCCAATACAAATATGGGCAACTGGCAGAGTAAAACAAATAAATAAAATTAAATTAAAAAAAAATCTGAAAGCTTTTAGACTTTATATTATGTCCAAAGGGGCGTTTTTCATTTTTCAAGAGGATTTGGGCTAACCCCCATTTGGACTAAAAATTCTTTAAAACAGCATGCCTTTAGAATTTTCAATAGACAGTCTCGCGTGCTGGAGATAAAAATAATTTATTCCGTACAATGTGTTGCCAGTGCTCGCTTTGAAACTGTTGAGTTTCTTAACCAAAAATTCATAACAAAAAATATGAAATAGAACAAATTCAGGCTTATAGATGCCTATTTTCGGGTGGAGGACTATGTTATTCAAAAGTTGATGGCTCTAGGTGTCATTTCTTCACAATGCAAGACACCTACACACATGCATGCAGATTCTTCCTTATTTAATGTTTTTAAATATCATACAGGGTGATAATATTTGATGGCAACAATTTGAAAAAAAAAGACAAGATACAGAATGAGGGGTAAAATATATAATTACTGATATTATGTAATTTTTATATAAATAGATTTGAATATAAAAACAAAGGATACTTGTTGGTTACACGGCATCTACCAAAACACTATGAACACTTATTGACACTTTTTAGAAATTAATTGCCTTTCCCCCCCTTTCCGAACATCAAACAGATTACTATTCTTGGTATTATTTTTATATTTTAAACTCTCATTTCCTGAGATGCAATGATTAATGTTTTTTATTCCCTTATGGATGCCTGCATAGAGATCTCCATAAGTATATGCATTTTTTGGTTTTCTGCCAACACCTGCTTTACATTTTGTTTGAATAAAGTAACTGCTGAAGTAAAATGCACCCTGCTTTTCTCATAATAAATGCTATATTTTCATCCAAAACCCCTAAATTTATGCTTCAAGCTATGGGCCCAGAAGGAGTCTTTTGAAATATATATAGCAATTCTATTTTCTGTGTGATTAAAAACATTAAGAAGCTACGGCTGCTAATCTCAACTCATACGCTTATTGAAAACTGAGCAATTAGAATTATTAAGAAATTCAAGGTTGAACCTCCATCCCCATTTACAGCAAAGATTTTAAAAAGACAAAAAAGCTAACCAACTACAGGGCTTTTATTAGAAGATAACTAACTAGGATATATATTAAAAGAGTGTATGACTGCTAAGAAGACACTTAATCATCATTTCAACAAAAGTGACAAGGTGTGCTTATGGAATCCAATTTGATGGAAAGGACTCTCCTAAACTATAGTCACTACACAGTCCTAAACATGCTGAATAACACTGTAGTTTGGATCCGTAAGTCAACGAATTCTAAGCTTGAAGTCACTCATTACTACAAGTTAGCCTCTTACTTTGGCCATAGTAAGTAGTTCCCAGAGTGCAGCGGTTCCCAACCGGTGGTACACACGAGAAAAATAAAATATTTTCAAGTACTAAATTAAAAAATCTCATGAAGAAGAACAACTGACAGACATTTCCTATGATCGAACTCTAACTGAATATTTCAAAAATAACACACTTATTAACTTTTGGCTGAACCTCAAAAAAGAATTTAAAGGCATTTTCAAATAAAGCTATTAAATTTTTATTGCCTTTTCGCACAACCTATTTGTGTGAATAAGGATTTTCTTCCATGTTATATTTGAAAAATAAATACAGAATTAAATTAAAAATGGATTCTAATTTACAGTTAAAACTAAGTGAAATAAGACCAGACATACGTTAAGAAATTGATCTCTCTTAAACAGGTCCAAATTTTGCAATAAAGTTTAGAATTATGTTATTATAACTTAAAATTTGATAGTAAAAATGGTAATCAATTTTTAATCTTAATATTTTTTACGTGTGCAAATGTAATATAAATAGCCAATAGGTTGTGCAAATGGCAAAATATGCTTTTTAATATTTCTATTGTGAAAATTGAAAAATAATCGTTACCTAATGTAGTAGTGGTACTAAAGTTTCTCAATTTTTGTTTAGATGGTACGCGTTATTAGGTTGAGAACCACTGCCATAGTGTATATAATGTAAATAGTATAACACAATGGTCTCATTTGTTTCTAAATTTGTAAGTTTATGCATTCATTTATTGAATTTAGTATTTGACTTGTCGTTTACTGAAATTATCATTTTAGTATTACATTGATTTGCTTTAACTGTAAGTATGGCTTTCTGTCCAGGGATTGTACTGCCTGGGATGTGCAGTCCTTGGAAAAGGGGCAATGCTATGAATTTTGTACATAGATAAATATTTTAGTGCAACTGCATATGAAACTGCTGTATCTCTTTTGTATAATGTAAAATCAAAATCTAAAGGAGTGAAGCTTGCTGGAAAAGTAAGAATATAGGGAGGGGCAAGTCTATTTAACACTGAGTAAATGGCTAGCTCGCTAATTTGGCAAGATATTGCCAAGCTGGCAATGGTTTTGGCAAGTAATTTTTGTCATCAAATTTGGGGAAAAATCATCAAAAGTTGCAAAACTTGGTGACATTTTGATCCAGTCCCTGTATTACCATAATAGGTATTGTAATTGAATAACTGTAATTGATTTCACATGTAACTGTGATTGTATCCAGCCCTTATATGCCTCCCAGTAATTTTGAGAAGCAGTAAAGAAATATTTTGGCCTATATATGTATGTTCATGATCAAGCTTCAGCTGTAGAGAATTGTTTTGTTATGTCTAAAAGAAATACAGTCAAAAGTCATTAATCCGGACTCGTCGAGACTTCGGCAATTCCGGATTATCGATTTTTCCGGATTATACATCATCAGTTTAAATCTGGTAAGATGGCATGCAGAAATTATAAAATTAAAAATATGAAACAGCAATTTATGAAATAAAGAACAATTATGATCTAAAGGGTATCAAAATTTACAAAAAGAAAAAGCTTAATATTTATTTGTTTACTTTATTAAATATTTCTTTCAATGTAAGTTGCTTCATTTCATGTGATAATACTTTCTCTTTAAGTTTATTAAACAGACATAATTTCTTGTTTAGTTACAATGTTCCGCTGTTCAAGTCCTATAATTGCTGTGTCGAGAATACCGACTAATTTGTCAATTGAAATTTTTTCGTTTTCAATAACCTCTGTGTCACTTTCTTCACTATCGGAAGTGAATTATAATGATGAGGAATTTGATTTAAATCATATCAAAGACGGAGTACATTGAGATGAAATACTACATTTAATAAGGAATTATAAGCCAAATAAAATAAAAACATCTGCCCTGAAGATAAGGATAGTGCTGACAGATCAACTTCCAATTCATTGCGCGCCACAGCGTTTCCCCCCCTCCCAGCGCAGAGCAGCGTGAAATTGATAAACAGATTTCGGAATGGTTAAGAAACAAAGGATATGCCTTTATCCATTTTTTTGCAGCAATTCCACTTTTTGTTTAATGGACTTCGAAACACTTTCGCTTTGTAGATCCTTTACATATTAGTCAATATATATCGGAAATTCTATTTGACATAATCAAAAGTTCAAGCTTACTTTTATAAAATTGATCTAACAGTCTGCAAAAAATAATAAGCCAGATCCAATTCGAAGCTTAAGGAACAACGCAATCTGCAACATTAACAGCTTAGCTTATACCCTCCGTTATACATTAAACACGCATGCGTAAACGTATTATGCGCATGCGCACACGCATATTCGCAGCCGTGCACAGAAAGTTTGTAGCTTTGAAGTCTGGATTATAGGTGTCTGAATTAACGACTTTTTGACTGTATAATTTAAACTTCACTTTCTTGAATTATCTCGTATAGAATCCACATATTTATCTTGCCGTAATATAGATAATATTAAAATCTCATAAAGCGTCTTTTAAAGTTATAATAACCCCGCATGCTCTAAAGAAAAATGATGTTAAAAATGAATGGTCACTATAACCTTCTGGATTTAACAAATTTTCACCATTTGTTGCCTTTTTAAGTTGTAATGGGGTGGTTGCTACAATGACTAATCATTGTGATGAGCACCTATTGTATATGCATTAAGAATCGTTTAAAATAAGAAGGTAATATATTTTGGGGGTTAAGTGGGATATGCTATTGCATAATTTGTTCCAATTTCATACTTCCAATTTATTTATTTTTAAAGGATAAATACCTGTCTTCTGATAAAGCTTTGATTCCATCAATAACAACAGATATTGCTGGCTTGCTTCCAAAACATTTATGCAAGGTATCAGTTAACTGCTGTTGTTGGGACAGTATTTCTTGATCTTTTTTGTTAAAGATAATGCCAATTAAACATTCCTCAGGTTTAGATGTTGGCAAACAACTATAGCCAACTGCCTAAAATTGAAAGAGAAAAAAAATAATGAATTTAATGTTGGATTTCTCTAATAAATTACTGATGCTGAAATTAATAATAAATTTCTCAGATGACACTACAAAACTATGCTATAATTATATATAATTTAATAGCTTGGGTAATAGATTAGACAGAATAAAAAAACATCTTCAGAATTCGGATTTAATTTTTCATCACATACACAACATAAATGTTTGATAATTTAGAAGTTGATGGCACAAAACAACATTCATGAGCGACTGAACATATTTTATTTCTATGCAAGCCCTAAGATAGTGGTACACAGCTTAATAAGAACAATCTGAATGCCCATTCTTGGTCATATTTGTGCTCTTGTACACCATCATGATAATAATTTATGAAAGAGAAGTAAGCAGTGACATGTTAGGTAGTTAGCATTTCTAAGATGAACACTCGATTCAAAAGATTAGTTAAGATTCATTCGGCTAATATTAAGTTTTGGTTCCCAAATTTGAAATTATTATTGGTTAAACAGTTACAAGCATCTGTGTGATTAGCATTATGCAAGAATCACACAATATGGATTAATTTTGAAATGCTGCAGATTAAAGCGATTTATGATAAGAAATTACTGTTTTAGGACAGAAAGGGGAATAATAATAATAATAAATAGAAAAGCTAAGGGATTATTGTAAACTAAAGTTAAAATTCTGATGTACATTTTTATCTCATACATCTGACACTATATGCATGTATACAGAGACCTACATATCTCTAAATATGGTATATATATATATATATATATATATATATATATATATATAAGCTATGTAACACCTCATTAATTCTACCTGTTACCTATAACTCAAATTTAACCTTGAAATAAAATAAATTCTGACAACAATCAAATGTACAATAGTCCCTTAAATTACCAAACTCGCTCATCAGATAACATATATTTATTTTTTTTATCAATTTGCATGAAAGTTAAGTTGAAAATTTAACAAGATTACTAATTATTCATATTTCAAAGATTAAAACAAAAACTGATGTACTTATTTGTTCTGATGGGTACCTCTTTTCCTATAGTGGCTCCTGAGATTGAATCGGCAATCAACTGAGTTATCTCACCAAAATCTGGCTGTGTGTTTTTATACCTCACCATGTGATAGTACATTAGCACTGACTGCGTGGTCTTATACCTCACCACATAATTGTATATTAGCACAATGTTGCATTCTTGCTTTCACTACATGTTCTTATATTATTCATTTTTTGACGATGTTTTAGAATTCACATTGTTTATTTAAAAACACATTAATTTCTTTCTTTTTTTCTTTTTTTTTTTTTTTTTTTTTTGTGAACATGAGGTCAATCCTTAATTAGCCAAGTAATGAGGTGGACGTCATACCATTTTTTCGAAAGAGAGGTCTTTCACCTGAAAAATGAGTAAGTGAAAACAGCCACAACATGAAACTTTATATTAACGGCAAAGTGTTTGGGAGGTGCAATGTAAAAAACTGCAAAACAAAGAAGGGCCCCCATGTAGGAAATTGGTTATGTGGTTCCAGAATATCGTTCGCCACTATTAGATTTATGTATTCCTGGGGAAAGAAAATGTCGTCCATGAAATGGTGTAGCAAACACTTTAATATATGTGAAACTGCTGCAGTTGACTGGAACAATTACAATGACGAGCCAAAACATTATGACCTTCCCCACATTTTTCAATGAACTTGGCTGGATGATGTGCAGGGCACGTGATTAAGTGCGAATGGTATTTAACTGCTGCTGGAGAAGGGTAATCCTTGCAATTACTTTCGCAAGTGATGGGAAAGGCTCCTGATCTAAGCAAATTTCACAGAGGACAGACTGTAATGACCTGAAGACTTGGAACAAATATCTCTAAAACTGAATGACTGGTAGGTTGGTCACGATCTGATGTTGTTAGTATTTAAGCAAAGTGGATAAATGGTGGTGAAACTAGTAAGTGGCAAGTTGTTGGACGTCCATGCATCATCAATGAAAAAAAACATCGCAGATTGTCCCACTTGGCACAGCAAAACTGGTGCCAGACTGTGGCTCAGCTGACAGCCCAACACGATGCAAGTCCAAGTGTTTTGGAACACCTCAGAATTTCGGCATGGGAACATCCAGACTCGACCACATGGATAAGTGGAAGACAATAGCCTGGTCGGATGAATCACAATTTTTGATTCAACTTGTTGATAGTCACGTCAGAGTATCCATTTTCCAGGCAAATAGTTGCTCAGGTCTTACTCAGGCTGCTGGTGGTGGTGGTATTTTGTTTTGGGGACATTCTCACAAGGCTCAAATTGTGTTGGAGTGGTTCGAAGAACATAAGGATTAATTTCAATCAATTTCCTGGTCACCTAGCTCCCAAGATTTTAACTCAATAGAGAACATTTAGGATACCATAGAATGGCAGCTCAAAGCTCAAACACCACCATGTCGGAATATCTGACTTTGCGTGGCTGCTGCTTAGAAATTTGGTACAACCTGTCTCCAGTCATCTACCAAGAACTTGTTGCATCCATGCAGAGGCAAAATGACTTTTGATTCTTCACTATACATGCGATAAAACAACAATAATAATAATACAGATTCTTAAAAATATTCTTAAGAAATGATATGTCAGTATTATTGTTATTATTATACAGTACAAAGTCCGAGATCCGGATTCGTCAGGACTTCAGCGATTCCAGATTTGGGATTCATCTGGATATTAAATCATCAATTTAAATCTAGTGAGATGGCATACAAAAAAATTTTTAATTAAAAACATGAAATCGTGATTTATGAAACAATGAAGCGTCTATGATCTAAAAGGTATCAAAATTTACGCCCTTCCCAAAAGAAGCTTAATATTTGTTTACTTTATTAAACATTTTTTTGAATGTAACTTCTTTAAGTTGCTTCATTTTTTGTGCTTATACTTTCTCTTCAACTCTATAGAGAGACATAATTTCTTGTTCAATTACAAAGTTCCACTGCTCAAGTTTCTAGTTGCTGCGTCAAGAATTCCGACTAACTTGTCAATCGAAATTTTTCCATTTGCAATAATAACCTCTCTGTCACTTTCTTCACTACTGGTAGTGGCATTTTCTGGATCTAGAACCATACTACAGATTTCGCCATTTATTAATTTATTGATGATTGGAAGATTGCCATTGCAATGAAAAACTCCTTTATATCATCTTCACTTGCTTTTCCACATTTCTTTACAAAATCCTTTAATTGTAAAAGCAGATACACAACCACGGAGCCAAATTATTGATCACACAAATTTATGCTAAAATGATTATTTCTTCAATAACGAGGTATTTTATTCAATACTAAAGTGAAATTAAGAATCGGGATTTTACACATGCTTTCTTATGGGGGAAAAAATCAAATGCTCATGCATAAAGCATTAAAAAAAATTCCTAACAAAATTTTTGTTGGTGGCTTTAAGGTTCGGATTTTAGACCATTCCAGATATTGGACGTCCGGATCTTGGACTTTGTACTGTATATTTATTTCTACATTCACGGTTCACGAATTTGGTGAAATTATAGCTGAGATCTTGGTGAAAATGTAAATTGCCTAATATGGTTGGAGGATGCTATAACAAAGAAGTATCTGCCATTGTAATCTGTAATCACTTACTTTGAATACACAAAATGGATTTTCTGGAGTAAATTCAACAGGAGGAGCATTAGGAGAAAAATAGCCTTTCCCAGTACCCCATGAGGCTTGTAACTGGTTCCATTTTGCAATAATTGTATCACGCTCATCACCATACAGCATAGGACATGTTAAAGCAGTCACAAGACTTGTGACATTGTCTACAGCTGGAACTTGCCCCATTGCACCTTAAAAATTATAAAATAATAATCAAAACACACTACATAAAAATTTTAAATTAGTGCAAAATTCTCTACAGCTCCACAGCTGAACACAGTAAATTCTCTCATAACTACGTCTAAAAGTGACCACTATTTTTGAGAACATAAACATTAACATTTGTAATAATAATATTCCTCTTTAAGAAGACTTCTTCTTGACTCGACTGAGAACATCAAATACATTTATTTGCGGATCACTAAAAACAACATCTTAGTTTCAATACCAGCCTAAAATATTTCCAAGCACTATTGGTACTTTCTGATTATCAGTATGAATACCAAAAAGTTGCAAACTTCTTGGTGACTTACTTTTATGCCAAACTAATGCACAAAAGGTAACAACTATTTTAAAAATGATGATGTATAAGGAATTCCATACAAGAGCATTCAATCAATAAAACTGAAAAGGAAAAAACATTGATAATAAAACTCTTGCCTTTTTCCAAGAGAAAATTTTGACTTTTTCATGCTGTTTTGCCATGCACAGCAATCTGTTTTCTCTTAAAACAAAAACCACAGATAATTGCACAAACTTGGTATTGCTGACCTGGCAAAACAGGCACAAACTATGTGCCTGGGTTGCAAGCACATAAATACAGGGTAAGTCAAAATGAATGCTAGGATTTTAAACGTTACTATGCAAAATATAATTAATGTATTTATTCAAAATATATACAGATTACAAATATGAGTTTGTATTTTATACTTCACAAATAAATGGCACCATAAGTGCAATTGTTATAAGCATCTATGATCCGAACATAAAGGAGGAAAACATTGTATTTAGTTAATTACCCACATAAGTTACCACATTAAATATTTAGTTAATTACCACACTTTTGTAGCATACTGATGCAACTGCAGAAAGCATTTCATGTGCTTGAGTGTTACGTAAGGAAGACTATTATCATTGTTTGGCACCGTATCCAAAAGAAATACAGGCATACAGTGCTGAATGATAATGCAAGTCATTGTTCGTATTCACAATTTCAAGAAAAAGGCTGTATTTGCAATGGAAAATCAACAGGTTGTCCTTCAATGGGAGAAGATGTGGTTCATTGCATTCAGAACAGCTAGGTGAGAAGCCCTAAAATATGCTGGACAAGAACTGCACGTACTGCAGAAAACTATGTGGAGAGTTCTTAGGAAGCGTTTGCAATGAAACTGTATAGTTTGCAGTTGGTGCAGCAACTGAAAACAAGATACACTTCCGCCATCAATGGAAAATGATGAATTTTCTGAAAAGTTCTGAACTGTTCAGTGATGAATCAACATTTCAAATTTCTGGATTAGTGAACAAGCATAACCTAAGTAAAAATTTGGGGTACTGAACATTCACATGGAATAGTAAAAATGAATATGATTCCTTGGATGTTCATGTATTTTATGCAGTATCCTCTGAAAAGACCTACGAACCATTCTTTTTCGCTGAAACCACAGTGACAGGAGTAGCGTATTTAGATATGCTCTAATAGTGGCATCACCCACAGCTACAAGATAACTTGCCTAGTTTTATTCTGCAACAGGATGGCATATCACTACACTTTTTTAATGAAGTGTGGAACAGCATGTTACTACATTATTGGTGGACTGGTGACGTAGCACTATTAGACAAAGCACTGTTACTTTGGCCACAATGATCTGCAGATTTCAGCCTACCTGACTTTTTGGGGGTTCAAACAGGGATGCATATATATGCCTCTAGGTCAAATGACCATGACTGATTATTTCTACATGGAAGTATCTCTAGAATAAATACATTGATTACATTTTGCATGTTAAAATTTTGAAATCTCAGCATTCATTTTGATAACATTGTGAATTACTACATAACTATTTTTGCAACACATTGCTTTGCCTCATTAATCTTCTCAGCGAGGATGTGGACAATCAGAAAGTACCAAAATATTTTTTATGGGAAATCATCTTTTTATACATTTTTAAATACAAATTTTATCCTTATCTTAAGGGAAAATAATTTATATTATAAACGAGAGTGTGTCACATTGCACTTCAAACGAGTCATTATATCACTGAAGTATTTACACCAGGAGTGGACAACTGTTTTGGTTTGGAGCCACTTTGAGGAAAAGGAAGTTAACAGAGGGCCACATCTTTTTAAATGATTGCATTCATTAGTTAAGTTTATACATTTTCAGAAAAGGTATAAATTATACAATGAAAATCAATAAACATAAATTAAACAAAATAGAACCAGTTTTATTAAATTTATTTATTGTGCAATTTTCATATCATCTATCGCTACAAGCGCATTTAATTTTAGAATCAGTTTAATGAGACAAATGTCCACAACTTTTCTTTTTTTAAATCAGGACTGAGACTGCTTGCTGATATTCTTATCATAGCCTGCACGTTAATGTCTGTCAAAGAGCATCTATATTTACTCTTCATCTTTAAGCATGAAAAGCTTCCCTCACAAATATACGCATACCCAAATACAGTGAAATATGTTTAACATGAAAACACATAAGACAAAATATAGGTTAACACGAAATAATACAACGGTCCCGGTAAACCACTACGTATTTTCATGCATTTTGTTTCTCTTAACCCTTTCCGGCACGCTACCTTTTAAAGTTGGAATTTTGATTTAAAAAAAAAAAAAAAAAAGGTAGGCAGTCTAAGAAGGCCTAGAGGAGCACACAAGTAAAATTTTGTAAAGATAGCACTTATCATTTTAATTCTGTGGGTGTGCCCCACACTGATTGAATAGAGCTTCAAAAAGAGTGCTGAAACGAGCATTGCTGTCAATGAACTGACCGATGAGATGCGGAGAAACAAAGAATACAGACTCTCAGTTGTCCTAGATTATCAGTGAGCCCGGTCTGGGTGCACCTAGGGTTCGCCATTTAATTTTAAGTAAAATTTCAAGGTAAAAATTTAAAACTAATATAGAATAAGGAGATTAGCATACAGCCAAAAAAAAATAACATAGAAATTTCTTTTCAAACAATTCCTTTTATACCCTAAAAAAAAGTCTGGAATATTTCTTTGAAAAATGAGGGCCTTAAAAAACTAAACATGGCTAAAATATATGGACTGGAGCTGCCATCTACTATAAATAAAGAAGGTTCAGAGCAACTTATAGTAACCTATAAATCCTTTTTCATTCAATTTTTCTGTGTGTACAGAAGGGAATTTTTAGGTGTCTCCACACCGGACACACTGTGCCGCAAAGAGTTCACACAAAACAAAAAATCACTTAACACGAAAAGATTTCCTTTCTGAGAATGAACAAAATACAGAAAACACCAGCCTCACAGGAGGGATTTAAGAGGACGTGAAATGAAAGATAGGTGACTTCACATGTTTCTTAAAAAGGAGGTTAACATGGCTTTGAAATACCCTCGGTATAGCCTGTGACACGAGCCAGTTCTGTTTATATAAGCTACTTTCACCCTCCACCCCTACAAACATCTCATCAGTTGGCTTTGGAATTCGGTGATAAGTACATTGCAGTGTGAGTAAAAAGTCAGCAAGTTTGGTTCATATGTTGCATTGTGCATGTCTCTGTCTCTTTATATGCTGCACTCTGTATGGAATTCAGCGACTCCAAGGACAATTGAAAATTGTTTTTGTCATGCACGATTCTCAAAAGAATCAGATTCTTTGGCACCAAAAGAAATGGAGAAGGAGGATATTGAAACTGAGACGATATAAGATTACAATTTTAAGAACCTTTCTAACCTCTATCAAACAAGTCACTATTATTGCTCAACATCCATTAAATCAATGACTACAAAGATTCAAAAGAATATGACAATAAAAAATAAATAAATGATGCTGATAATGCAGTATGTCAAAGCTTCAGGTAAAAAATTAAATATTAGCAATAAATAGTTTGTTATGACTTAAGGCCTGCCCACACGAGTACGCTCGAAACGTAGCTGCGCTTTTACGTTACCAGCATAAAAGCATCCAACCGAGTACGCTTGAGAAGAGTGCGTTTAACCAATAGAATTATTTTGCGCAAAAGTCACGTGACGCTGTAATATAGCGTCAACAGAGCTGTATCTTATTATTTCGCTGTGCTTCTGTATGTTTGCGGCAAGTTGTCCGAATCAGATGATTTTTTTAAAGCTGAAACTTTACTATTAAGTACAATTATTAAGCACAGGGAAAACCGCAAAAAAATGGTAAGAATGGGTCCAAAAGATTTATTTAGAGCGAGCTGTTCAAAGAGATTTTTTTTCTTTTTTTTTTACTGCCTCGTTTGTGAAATGAATATCCAGAATTATTAAATTCCTACTATTAGCTCACACTCTCCCTATATCCTGTTCAAATTTTCAGTACATAAAATGCTTTTATTCATCCACTCAAGTTCAAATACAATTTTTAAAATTTTTAATTTTAAAAAATTCTGTTTGTATTTTTATTTATTTATTTTTGTATTTTTTTAAATTTTTCTTTATGGCTCTAAGTAGGAATTGATTCTTTTTTTTTGTTTTGCTTTGTATATTACTTGTTTTTTTAATTACTTCAGGATGAGTATCAACCAGTTAGACAGACTTGCAGATTCTATATTGTATGAAAATTAGGATTTATAAAATTGGTTTGGAATACAGTATATAAGCATCCACCATATAATAAAACCAACTTCATACTTTTTTAACTCCCCCTCCCTTGGTCTTTTGTTTTTCTTTTTATTTATTTTTGAATTTAGAATGAGGTTCAAACTTTGGACAGTTTATGAGAAATTATGTGCATGATAAAATATGCAATAAAGTAAAAATAAAGAGAGAATTTGTAGATGATATATGATAAAGAGGTGCAGACATATCATTACATAAGGATTTCTATTTGCAATGTACATTTTTAAACTAAATTAAAAACAATAATAATAATGAATAAACTAAGAAATGAAAACAATAATGATAGGTAAAATAAGAATATAATGATTCAGGATTAAATATAAGAAACACGTTTCAAAATGAGAAAAGCTAATTGAATTATATACTGCCTGCGGGTGAGGTTCGAACTCGACACCTTTCCATTTGCAAGGCAGCGCGCTGACCACTCAGCTATCTGTGATACCAGCGTTTGTGAAAAATAATGTAACAAGTAGAAGTCGCCGCAAAGGTAATTTAATTAAACTTCAATAAATGATTGCTGTATGACACAAGTTGTAACTTTCCTCCAAAATTTCGTAATTGTATTTTATTGAATACTCTTTCACAGTCAACTGCTTTATTTTAGAAGTTGTTATATATATATAAGTTAGTTTTGGTGTATTTAATATTGGGATATTTATAGAGCTTTTTATTACACATGATGTAGCTAATATTTATAATAATTAAGGAGAATTTTTTAAGGCAGAAACTTTGATTTCGTAGAAACTGTAATTTATTTAGGCTCCTATTACTTCTATTACAGCAAAATAAAAAGAATTAGGTTCATAATTTAAGAAATAAGATGGTTGACTTTCCTACATAATTGAAAACTCTTTTAGAAAAACAGTGGTTAAACAAATCAGATAATGAAGCAAGCAAATTTCATTGTATTCCTGAAATTACAGAACAAAATTTATATCATTATTACAATTATTTTGAAGTGTGTGCCGATTTTACACACATAACCTGTTTTCTATATTTAAAAATATTATTCTCATACATATTTGAGAAAATTAAAAAGCCATATCCTAAGATTTTTGTTTTGTTACATTATTCTTTGTGAATAATCTGTAATTTTATTTAAAAAAACCCAATATACTGCATTTGAACTTCAGTATTTCTCTTTGATAGATCCCAGGAGCAGCTCTGACTTAAACCCTTTGCCTCCTAATACTGCTGGGTTACAGAATTAAAACCATAAAATGAAAAACATGTTAAATGTTCTTTTTCTGGTAGTTTTCCTTTAAGACACACTATGCATTTCCAGTGTCATAGTGGCACATTTTAGCTTATTTTTGTCTCAATGTTTTGACCTTAATACTAGACAAAACAAATAGAAAGATTGCAGAAAGCAACTACGAACATTTTCTAATTTCATGAAACAATCCTCCAAAAATCCATTTTGAGGTGGGGGGTGGGGTGAGAAAAAAAAATCTACATTATTTTCTTTCTTTTTCTGAATAAGTTTTCAGCAGTATTGAAAGTTAACCCGTGTCCTTCACGTATAAGATGCAGGTAACTTTTTTGAGACTAAATTTAGGAAAAAAAGTGCGTCTTATATGCCGTCAAATACGGTATTTTTTGGTTTCTTTGAACATGTTCATTTGAATTTTTAAGTATGTTATTAACATTTGTTTCATTAAACTTTTATCTTTATCAAAATACTCAGCAAAATTCATCAATGGTAGTTTTATTGCCACTGTAGTACTCAATATCATTTTGAATAACTACAATTTCTCCATAGTTCCTCATTAGCATCAATTTTGAAATATATTGAAAATAAGGAGTTTTATAATATTTAGCCACTGAAAATATTAAATACATAAAAGGAGGCATTTCGTTTATATGGAAAGAAACATGGATTCTGAATTAAGATTGTTTACTTTCACTGTATGCAAGTAAATAATATGCAGTCTTAATCGTAGCCAAATTTTCCACTGGATTTTTGTTCTTTTCAAGTTGTTGAAAATTATACATTCAATCTAGATCCATTTTACAGATTAGGCTTTATTACATTAAAAAAATGTGAGCTTAGTTCTAAAAAAAAAAAAAAAAAAAAAAAAGGACGACTCAATTGTGAATTCAATTCAAGGAAAATAAAATCAAACCTTTGTTAACAGACACTCTCTTTAATGATCAGTTCTTGAATCTCCAGCTCTCCAGTTAGAAACCAATGCATTTCCATTTAAAACATATTTTCTGATAACGAATATTGGTCTCATGAGTGTCCATTAACAAGATATTCAACTGTGTATTGTAAAGAATACTTTTAGATAATGGAGTAAACTGAATTACCTGCCATATTACCAAATGATGACTGCATACCCATACCAGATGAAAATATTCCACCACCTATACCTAAAGAACCTGATGGCTGACCTAGAATATAAAAATTTATTAGGCTTAGTCATAAATAAAATACAAAGCTTACATGTTATAATGTGCAATATATAAAGAGGCATTAACATCCACAAACAATAAACTCTTAATAATTTTACAATTTAAGTATGTAAGCAAAATCCTTAAACAAGAACCATACATATGTACAATCAGAAAAGCTTAAGAACACATGAAAGCAAAAGCAGTAACCAGTTTTACTCAACATTTGTTTCTTGCAGAATATCTGTCTTATTATATATATAATAAAGTGGATAATAAATATGAAAATTAAGTGATAATTGGTAGAGATAGAAAGAACACAACAATACTTGAATTCAGACTGTTTTATTACAGTGTAATGCACATTTTTAAGCCAGCTTACAGGTACAGATAGAAGTGGGAAGAATACCAGAAATTCACCATTGGTCATATAAGTATAGTTCCAGAGTGTAAACTACGCAGTTCCATCCCTCTTTTCAGGGATAACACCTCAGGGGGCAGTCTGAAGGTTTTCCACTCATATTTTTACATCAACCTATTGACAGGGCTTTCATTGACCATGTATTTTGATTGCCCTCTTGCAGCACTGACATTATACACTTACAAATACCCATGCTTTCTCTGTAATTCAAAACCAGGTCGCGGTGTTCAATAACCAACTATCTGTAAGATTTCGCAATGGCATCTAGAACTGAATCCACACTGTTTGCAGATGATGCAACATTTAGAGTCAAATTTTGTAGTCACATGCAAGAGACATTTCAAGATGCTGATTCTGGCATTCGCCTAATATTAGGTGATGTAAAGTCATTTATTTGAGAGTAAGATAAATTATTACAATGCCCAGGTACACAGCATACAAAACTGTCATGCTCTAGCTAACAGAAATGGGATTTATTAAAATTAAATGTCTTCTGTGGTATATCAGAGATGAAGTCCTTTCTTTTTTTTGTGTCTTTACACTGTCATGGGTATCACGTATCTTGCTATATCGCAATTGTAGTATTCCTTCATGAAAGATGTTTCAGAATTTCATATTCCAACAAGAGAGGACTTTGCTTTGTTGACAAACTAAAATATGTGACTACTTGAGTTACGAACTCTGGTACCGTTGGATCGATCAATATGGAGAAGACAACTCAGTCTGATGGGCACAAAGGTTTCCTTTATGCTTAGTGATTTTTATTCCTTTTGGGATACATGCTAAAACTGATATTTATGTTTCTCCACTGACAGCAACATTATTGGAGTCCCAATACTGCACTGGAGTTGCTTTGGTGACTATCAGTGAGGAAATGTTGCAATATGGATGGGTAGCAATGGATCTTTCCGTAGATAAGAGTTTCTTAAACTGTGGGTTGCGGGACCTGCAGCAGGGGGTCACGAAACATTTTAGCATTTTTGTAATTTCTTTAACATATTATAATAATTTTACAATCACCAAATATTTTTACACAATGTATCTGAAAATAGATAAAGATAAGAGAATATAGACCAAGATAAAATGTAAACATTTTCAACGCATTCTTTTTATAATATAAACGTTCATTTTACTTGCTTCGCATGTGACACCGTCATTTTGTCTGTTACTTATTTTAAATTTTCACATTGTTCTATGTCTTAAAATTAAAGTTAATGACCTAAAACTGCTATAGTATATTACAGTACAAGAGAAAAAATTGACGGCTTCACTCACAGGCGTGTCGGATTTGCGCTATGCTTATAGGGTCCCACAAAATTTCCCTAAATAAATGGGGGCCAGGGGTCACAAAAAAATTTCAGTTATAAAAAGGGGTCGCGACTAAAAAAGTTTAAGAAGCCCTGCCTTAGATACACATATCATGTAAAAAGAACACACACTGAACATTTACAGTGGTATAAGAAAACTTTGGAGGAAATTTCCATCATTCCACATAGTACTTTTTTTTTTTTAATTTTTTTATTTGCAGTACTTTATTACATTCAACAATTTGAAATTGAGTCATTTGTAAAAATCCAGTACAGTCAAAAGTCGTTAATCCGGACTCGTTGGGACTTCGGCGATTACAGATTATCGATTTTTCTGGATTATAGATCATCAGTTTAAATCTCGTAAGATCGCATGCACAAATTCTAAAATTAAAAATATGAAACCGTATTTTAGGAAATAAAGAACAATTATGATCTAAAGGGTATCAAAATTTACAAAAAAAGAAGCTTAATATTTATTTGTTTACTTTATTAAACATTTCTTTCAATGTAAGTTGTTTCGTTTTATGTGATAATACTTTCTCTTTAATTCTATAAACAGACATAATTTCTTGTTCAGTTAAAAAGCTCCGCTGTTCAAGTCCCGTAACTGCTGTGCCGAGAATACCGACTAACTTGTCAATCGAAATTTTTTCGTTTTCACTAACCTCTCTGTCACCTTCTTCATGTCTTTATCCATTTTTTGCAGCAATTCCACTTTTTGTTTGACGGACATCGAGACATACTCTCGTTTTGTAGATCCTTTGGGAGCTCCAGAATCGGAAATTGACATAATCGAAAGTTCAAGTTTACTTTTATAAAATTGCTCTTACAGTCTGCAAAATATAATAAGCTGCATCCAATTCGAAGATTAAGGAATAATGCAATCATCAACATTAACTGAAATAGATAATTGTATAATTTTAGCTTATACCGTCCGTTATACGTTAAACGCGCATGCGAAAACGTATTCTGCACTTGCGCACACGCATATGCGCGTGCGCGTAAAGGTCTTACGCGCACGCGTAAATGCCTATGCGCATGTGTCAACGCGGCGCATGCGCAGAAAGTTTTTAGCTTTGAGGTCCGGATTATGGGTGTCCGAATTAACGACTTTTGACTGTATATTAATTTCACTTTTAACTAAAAGTATATTTATGATATAGCTAATATCTTATTTTAAGCATCTGCTAACTAAAATTAGATGTATTTAGAATTTTAATACCCCTTTCTTCCATTATTCTTTTTAATATAATTTTGAAATAAGCAAAATTTATAAATTTTCTTAGATTTCAAAATTTATAAAGTAAAATTTAGTATCTTTTTTGTTGGAATATTTAACTGGCTAGTTTTCAGCAGAATATGAAAAAATTCAGAATAAAAAAACTAAAAATCCAATCAAAATTCAACTAATGGGAAATTACCAAATGAAAACCCAGATGTTGTAGTTGTAGCTGTAGCTCCAAAGCCTCCAAAACTAAATGAAGGAGCTGTTGTTGTTGTTGCACCAATACCAGTGAAAGAAAATGGAGCAGATGAAGATGCTGGTGCACCAAATGAAAAACCTGAATCAGATGTAGTAGTAGTAGTTCCAATACCACCAAAAGAGAAGCCTGTGGTACTGGCAGGAGCAGTGTTACTTCCAAAACTAAATCCTAATTTAAAGAGAAAGACAGATATTAATCATAATGAGAAAGATAGCATGTAAAAGACAACTGGAATTAAATCAATAAAAAAATGACACTTCAACTTACTATACTTACTTGCATACTTTTTTTCTCTAATGTACTCTTCCCAAACCTTTTAGTGTTTTAACCTTTTGCTTACTTAACCTTTCTGACACTTTCAATTCACTTACCTCGTCTCATAAAAATGAGCAATTTTGGGGGCTTTCTCAGAATGGAATTATTTACAAACGTATTTCAACTTCATTCATTCAAATCTCAAAGGCCTAAACAAATCCATTATCTTCCCCTTTCCATTAACATACACAGAGCTTTAAAAGACATCACATACTCTATCCTAATCCAACTGGCAAAACACAAACTCTATCCTAATCCACTATATTAGATATTAATGAATAATATAATAACAAGAACGTTCAACTGTTCAGTGGAGGTGGAAAAAAAAAAAAAAATGGAGTGGACACAGAAAATAATGACAATACAAGTAGAGATCCAGTCCTCAAGATCTGTTCATAAAGACAGAAGTATAAGAGATCTTTATAATCTGTGAGAGTGGATGCCTCTTCCTTTCCTAAAAGCACAAAGAAGTTGCAAAATTTAAATGTTTTCTACTGTTTTCTTCCTGGGCTTCATGTTTAGCCATTAATAACAAAACAATACTATGGACACTGATGATGCATTCTAGAGTTGATTTAGGACCTGTTCTACTTTCCATGGTTGAGAATTTTGACACGAGGTATTTAAATTAGTCTGTATAATATTTGTGAAAATGTCAAAGTCAGTTCAAATAAGTAAATGTATTTTCAAGCTTTTAAATAGCAATGATATATGAAGGTAATCATAGTCACACTGCTAAATTTAAATTGGTAGTGTTAAAACATGTCAGAATAAAGAATGTCAAACCCATAATAAGGCAATTTGAAGTTGAACTAGGTATGTATAAATACACGAGAAAAAATTATAAGAATTTAAAAACAAGAATCTAAACCATAATGTGTACAGATACTGAAGGTAAAATGTAATTTTTATGGAGCATTGTAAAATATAGAATGATAATACAAAAATAATGTTGATATTCATATAATTATTCATGTAAGCTTTTTAACACCATTAGTTTTTTATTTCTTCTTTAAAACTGACTAGATCATGTAATTTTCTCCTTTTTATTTTTAGGTTGTAAAATGAATGTAAAAGAAAGGGATTTGCAACTAAATATGGATGATAAGGATAACTTTTTAATTAAGTTCATCAAGCAGCATTCATTAAAAGTCTGAGGCAGAATAAATTTTAGGATCATTGGTGTCAAATGACAGTTTTTTATTACCATAATTAACTGCATAACATTTTATATAACTAAGGCTAAGCTTAAGAATGAAAGGCAACAGCAAGATCAACAGTAATATTAAAAAAATTATAGCTACCTGTGTTACATGCACAATTAATAATGTTGAATATAAAAAAATACAAGACAATGGTTGCATGAAGAACAAATGTATTGCTGTAAAATTAAGACAAGCAGTAGTTTAATAATAACAATTTAGAAAGCAAACGGATACAGGGTCCCTGTTTCCAGAAACTTTCCTTTTCTGAAGAAAAGGATGAAATTGACAAATTTTACTTAAAATCTTATGTCAGTTGTTTATCTCAGCATCTGCTATAAAACAGCACTTGACATTTTCTGATTATCTGCAATTCCCTCCAAAAAAATTATGAATTCATTGATCACTAATTTTTTACCAAGCTAATGACTGAACGGCAAAAGCCATTTTTAAAATGGAGGTGCATTAAGAATTCTACACAATATTAATAATATTGAATTATATTAAAAAATGGGGGGGGACAATAATAAAAAACTTACCTTTCTCAAGAAATCCTTTTTTGCGCTAGTGTTCTCTCCATGCACACAGCGATTTGTTTTCACTAAAAAAGATATCGGAGAATTGCTCCAACTTGGCATCTGCCAAAGCAAGTATTACATACGGTAAAAACAGATGAGTGCTATAATGTGTATCTGGGTTGTCTCATAAATACATTTTCATGACATACTTTGTCTCATGAACACTATTTTACAACTTTTCAACGAGGGTGCAGATAATTAAAAAAAACACAGCACTCATTAAATAGTTTATTAAATTTCCTTTCGGGCATTCTTTCCTTCACCTTTACATTTTCCTTCGTCACCAGCACTTAAATGTATCATTTCTAGACATACATCATATAACAAAATAATACTTATTTATACCTCTACTACCTTTTAACCCTTTGAGGGGCGGTATATAAAATAATTTAAATTGTGGTAAAATTTGGCATGAATTATAACTTATGGACCCTAAGGACACAAAATTGAGACTTAAAAAAATCTAAAGCAAAATCCTGAATTTTGGTAGCTGCCAATTCTTAACTTTTGTTTGTTAAATTAATTTTGCATACTTTTGAAGTGCATCTATACAGATGGGTACTTGAATATAGTATGTAAGTCTGAAGGCAAAAACTTTTAAAATTTCAGTAGAAATTTAAAATTTTAAAAATAAAATTTATGTTTTTATGCACTTCGATGATGCAACCCAGCTGAAGATACTTATGTTAAAATATGGGTAAAAAGCTTTTGAATTTGATTTAAATTCAATATTATTATTTTATTAAAAAAATTAGCAAATATAACACTGTGTAAATCATATCATGCTGTAACTGAACTAGTATAACTAGAAACATATAAATGAACTAGTATTACAAGCAGATGTAACTCAGCTGAAAAATAAAAAAAAATTGAAAAATGAAACACTGCAGCTCAGCTGAGAAAGTATGAAACATTTTTTAAGTTATATTTTATGCTTTAGATAATATGCAAAAAAACCATGCTTCATGGTATGATACCGAAAATCACTCCCCCCTCACTCCTCCACGCACACATACTTTAAATTATCAAGGATCGTAAGGGTCCCTTTTTTATTTTTTGTAAATACAGGTTGTAATATATCTTTTTGTTCGGGATGAAATGCCGTTAAACAATTTTATTATTTGATACACCTCAAAGCTTTTATTCCGATTTTCAACCCCTTTACCTTCCTAGGGGCTGCTTTTCAACTTTTGGACAAATTTTAGTTTGGATCTAAAACGTGCCTTAGAAATATTTTTCCTCTTTGCACCAACTGTGAAAATTTATTTTGGAAAACAATCTATTTGTATCCTAACCCAGAGGGCAAATTTCTCTTACGTTCCCTAGTCTTTCATCTGAAATTAACAAAGAATGAAAAAGAATTTCCCTAAAGAATAAAAGCATGCTTTCAAATCAGCAGTTTTTATGATTACACTAAGAGATGGACCTTAAGTGCATTTCCATTTTAGGCGAGTTTTCCGTGATCTCATTACACCACACAAAGGGAAGAAGGCGTGACTCCCGAATGGCAAATTAGTTGTCAATCACCTCTTTTCATTTTCGTCGCATTCTAGGATTTTGGAAAACACAAAGCAACGGATGATGTCTTTTGGAGGCTAACATGCCACATTTAACCCCTACAATTGTGTAAAGTTTTGACCCCAGACGGCAATTTTGAAATTGATGATTCTTTTGGAAAAGGGTGAAGTGCTGAAATAGAAATTTTAGCTAAACAAAGACGAATGAAACTCAAGTGGAGTAAAAAAAGAATAAAAAGAAACTAGTATACTTGTATTCAGTCTTAATGCAGGGTCAGTAAACTCCCCCTCCCTTCATGAACATAATACAGTACAAAGTCTGTAATCTGAACGTCCATTATCTGGAATGATATATAATCTGGACCTCAAAGCCATAAAATTTTTTTTTTTTTTTTTGTATGCTTTCCATATGTGCGTTGGGAGGACGTGTCTCCAGGTATGTTAAAAAATGCTTGGCATAATTTATGGCCAGCTAAAATATTTCATGGTGAGGAAGATGAAGATGATAACCCCGAATTTGAAGGTTTTTCGGACATCGCAAACTAAAAGTGAAATTTTCCAGTTATTGGATTTTGTAAAGAAATGTGGAGAAGCAGTAATAAATGAAGATGATATAACAGAAGTTTTTCATTGTGACGACAATGCCCCAATCATCAATCAACGGATGGCGAAATTTTCCAGTTATTGGATTTTGTAAAGAAATGTGGAGAAGCAGTAATAAATGAAGATGATATAATAGAAGTTTTTCATTGTGACGACAATGCCCCAATCATCAATCAACAGATGGCAAAATTTGTAGTATGGTTTTAGATCCAGAAAATACCGCTTCCGATATTGAAGAAAATGACAGAGAGGTTATTATTGCAAACGGGAAAATTTCGATTGACAATTTAGTCGGTATTCTCGACACAACAATTACAGGACTCGAGCAGTGGAACTCTGCAACTGAACAAGAAATTATGTCTGTTTATAGAATTAAAGAGAAAGTATTAGCATAAAAAACAAAGCAACTTACATTGAAAGAAATGTTTAATAAAGTAAACAAAAAATATTATTATTATATTTTTTTTGTGAACCCTTTAGATCATAATTGCTCTTTATTTCATAAATTACGGTTTCATATTTTTAATTTTGTAATTTCTGCATGCCATCTTACCAGATTTAAATTGATAATCTATAATCCAGAAAAACCCCTAATCCGGAATCATTGAAGTCCCAATGAATCTGGATTGCGGACTTTGTACTGTATTGAATCCTAAACAATTTATAAATTAATCATAAAAAATTATTACATCATAAACTGTTATAATATAAAGAAATTCTGTCATGTCCCAGAGTTGAAAAGGAGAAGACTGGTGCTGCCGTCTATTGGCATGGTACCCTAGTGTGGGTGCCAGTATATATTATATACCGATTTTAAAACCGTAAAAATAATCTTCTGTCAGTTATTACTTCTGACTGCAATGAAGTAAAATATACAGTAGAAGTCTAGCAACCCGCAAAGCTTGGGACCAGAGGTTGTGCAGATTTCAGGACAGAAAGGATAAATCACAATA